TGTTCACCGAGAAAAGGTTTGCACCACCGGAACAGCCGGTTTAAGCCATCTTAAAGCATTTTAAAGGTGAATATCGTAATTTATTAGTAAAAAAGAATTTTGTTATATACTCCAAACTTTTATAACTCGAACTTATGTAACAATCTAATGATTTCCTTTACACCCTTATGTGTATTAAGTTGTCTTGGCTTTTTGTTCCAGATGTTGACGGATTGTGTTCACCGAGTGAAAGTTTGCACCACCGGAACAGCCGGTTTAAGCTATCTTAAAGCAATTTAAAGGTGAATATTGTAATATATTAATAAAAAACGAGTTTGTTTTATACTCCAAACTTTTATAACTCGAACTTATGTAACAATGTAATGATTTCCTTCACACACTTATCTGTATTAATTTGTCTTGGCTTTTTGTTTCAGATGGTGACGGATTGTGTTCACCGAGAAAAAGTTCGCACCACCGGAACTGCCGGTTTAAGCCATCTTAAAGCATTTTAAAGGTGAATATCGTAATTTATTAGTAAAAAAGAATTTTGTTTTATACTCCAAACTTTTATAACTCGAACTTATGTAACAATCTAATGATTTCTTTTACACACTTATCTGTATTAATTTGTCTTGGCTTTTTGTTTCAGATGGTGACGCATTGTGGTCACCGAGAAAAAGATTGCACCAGCGGAACAGCCGGTATAAGCCATCTTACAGCATTTTAAAGGTGAATATCGTAATTTCTTAGTAAAAACCACAATTTTGTTTTACAATTTAAACTTTTATAACATGATCTTGCATAATAATCTAATGATTTCTTTTTCTTACATTTATATTTATTAATTGTTTTGCTATTTTTCTCGTTTTAGATGCTGACGAATTGTTTACAGGAAAGGAGTTGGCAGCNCCGGAGGAGCCGGTTCGGGTCATTTTAAAGCAGTCTAAAGGTTAGTGTTGTATTTCCTAATACAACACACAATTCTGTTTCAGAATTTAAACGTGTATAACTAGAACTTACGTAACAATCTAATGATTTCTTTTACACACTTATCTGTATTAAGTTGTCTTGGCTTTTTGTTCCAGATGGTGACGCATTGTGTTCACCGAGTGAAAGTTTGCACCACCGGAACAGCCGGTTTAAGCCATCTGAAAGCATTTTAAAGGTGAATATTGTAATTTATTAATAAAAAACGAGTTTGTTATATATACTTCAAAGTTTATAACTCGAACTTATGTAACAATATAATGATTTCCTTCACACACTTATCTGTATTAATTTGTCTTGGCTTTTTGTTTCAGATGGTGACGGATTGTGTTCACCGAGAAAAAGTTTGCACCACCGGAACTGCCGGTTTAAGCCATCTTAAAGCATTTTAAAGGTGAATATCGTAATTTA